TAACACTAATTTTGGGTTTTTGGGGGGTATTTCTAGGTACTTGAAGCATGTTTTAATCCTCGAAGAATTCAGAAAATCTGGGGACTGCCAGTAGGCGCAATCAAAAACTTAGGGTTCGAACACCAATTCGAGTAAGAATCCCTCACCTTATTCTCTATTATGGAATTGAAGTTTAATTTTAAATAATATAGTATTTTGTGAAACTTAAAAAATATTCATAATTAATTACAGGTTATTAATAGAGTCAGAACCCGTTACTTATTACTGTTTGCTATGTTTAATTGATTGTCTGATTTTATAATTTTCGAATGCATGATAATACACTGAAATTGGTATGCTGATGCGATTGTGTTTCAGTTGATGCATGTATTATTTGTCTTACGTGATTATAGTTAAATTGAAAAATTTGAAATTAAAAGTAAACGAAAAATTATTTGATTAAGTGGATGGATGAACGATAGTCTTACTGGATATCTTGAGAGATGGTGGACGGACTGGGTATATAGAGAACCCTACCGTGAAATTTGCCTCATACCGGATGGGATATCGATGATTGGTAATTCGACACTTATACCGGATGGGGTATGAGGACGACTTGTTTCACCCTCATACTGGGTATCGATGATTGGTAATTTGCCGCTCGTACCGAACGGGGTATGGGGGCAGTCCATTTTACCCTCATACCGGACAGGATATTGATGGATAATATTTTTTGACGCTTATACCGGACGGAGTATGGGGACGGCTCGTTATTTGAAAATATTGAATAAAGGTTCACGCGTAAAAGAGAAAGTCGTTGTTTTGACTGATTGAATATAAGATTTTGATATTGTTAATGTTATTGACTTTATAAGTTAGTTTTTTGAAAATCTCGTTAAGGTAAGTATGCGGTAAATGATTTCATTCATGTTAAAGGAACTTACTTAAATTAATAGCTCTATTAGTTTTTTTATGATTTTTACCAACTTTCGTTTCTGTATCGGTAAGTAGTGTGATATTATTGCGAGGTAGTGTAGTTCATTCTTTCATTAACCATTTCAGATAAAAAGAACCAATTATAAAAAAGGTAAGACTTATTATAATGTATTATTTAAAATGTCTTAATAAAATATATATTTAAAAATAATACTAATTTTTATATCATTCATTATCACATTATTTATTATCACAGTAATTTTTTAGTATTGTGAATAACTTTTCAAGTGTCAATCATATTTACAAAAATAATAACGTATTAGATGTATGAATTTATTTTCAATTGATTTAGTTAATGTGCTAGAAATGCTTCTCATAATTATTTATGAAATATATCAAGAGATCAAATATGCTATTCTTTGTTTTGACATTACATTCGGAATATTTTCCATTAATTTTTAAATTTTTATTTTTTTATTTTAATAATGTATAATCCATGAAATAAAAAATATAATTTTATAGAATTTAATAAATAGTTAGAAATTATGATTATATATTTAAAAGCATTGTTATTAACTTTATTAAATTAGTTTATCTAATTTTTGAATTTCATTAAGAACAAAATATATAACATGAAAAACTCATAATTTATTATCAGAAATTTCACAATTATAAAAAATATCATGAATTAAAGTAATTTTGTAAATTTTTAAAAAATTATGAACTACAAAAAATTATACGATTACGTGGTTCAACCGACTGCGCGGGTGCATATTAATATTGCGGTGGTCCCTTCCCCAAAAGGCATCCAAGTAAACGTTAAGGAGACGGCGGCTGGAGTAAATGGGGCCCACTTGAGATCGAAAGCGCAAGTGGATATTCGTCAATATGACTCATTGTACGGTAGCTTTCTCCGCATAAAGAACGCACTATAAATAGCCCCCCATCTTCTTCAACTACTAGTATCATATCTGTATTCCCGTCTACTGATTCTTCAGTCAGGGCGAATACCAAAATCCATAAGCTTGTAAGAAAATTATTGACTTCTTTAGTTAATTCTTGGTTAAATCCGTAACTACTGTGTTAATATTCTCAAGCGAAGCATTTTTACTTGGATTTCTTATGATGTTAATGGTAATTATCTGTTCTTGATTGATTGGTGGTTTTGTTTCCTGGTCTATTTGATAGAGATTTTTGCGTGTTTCTCTTTCTTTGTTTGAATCAATATACCGCTTTATTTTTCCAGTCTTAATTATTTGTTGATACTCTCTGCAAAATACTTCCAAGTGTGAGAGCGTCGGGTCTTGTGTGAGCCGTTTACGGTGCAACTATCGGGAGCTATGTCGGTGAATCAAGTGCGGGAAAATGGTGTACACGACGTTAAAGTACTTCCCGCTTTCAATGATAAACATGGAGGTGTCATTGTGGAAATGAAGGAGCCTATGGATCCGGAGTCTTTTGTTGCTTTACTCAGGGACTCAATAGCATTATGGAGATTACAGGTTCTTTTCTGATATAACTTTATTTATGGTGGATATCTTGCTTATTTGTTTGTGGTTTACCTTTGTTTTAGACTGTTTTCTATCACTAAATGTTAGTGAATCTTGCTTGAACTCATTAATATCATTTTTACTACAGGAATCTTTTGTTATTTCGTTTTGTTTTTTATTGCTTAGTACATTTCAGTAAAGTAGCTGGTTCAAATCGTATTCTAATTAGTAGTAGTCTTTAAGGCTGCCAATGAAGAATAACTGGTAAACAACTATCATTATGCATTTGAGTTTCTGAGTCAGGTTTCTCAAAATGTGGTCTACTTCAGAATATATTAGGTCATACATCATCATTCTTAGGTTTACTTGCTACGCTTTTGTAGTATGTTTTGAAATTTTCACTATAATTATCAGCACATTGCGTAGATATTTCATTCTTTCCATCTTCTTCTTACACTAGATTGCAGAAAAAACAATTCTATGTTATACAGAGGTTTAGTTTTCGTGTCCTTCAATATGTGAACTTACTTTTCTACTAGAAGTCATTTAAGGAAGGATGTTAGGTGCCGGACCTTTAGCCTCTTCTTTCTCTTTAATTTGTCATGGATTTTCTTCGCTTTCAGATAGCCAGGTGCCTTTGTTATTAGTGACTGTATTTGAATTCACTTCGCAGGGCAAAAAGGGTGCTTGGATTAAATTGCCTATTGGACTTGCAAATCTTGTCGAAACAGCAGTTAAGGTAATTATCGTTAGCTGTGATATTATAATTACAAGAATCTTTAATATGTTGGATAGTCGTTGAAAATCCAAGTGTCTTTTATCTTATATTCTGTTAATCTGCCTTACTGAGGGAGCACGAATTGTGATAAGCACACAAGGCATAGGAGCAGTTGATCATTTCCCAGAAATTTGATACTCTCAATGCAGTCCATAAAATCTAATTCAATTTCATTTGAGAATTATCTTCATCTTTATTGCTAGCTTCATCACATATTTCATGGCTATCTTAGAAAAGATACCGTTTCAACTACTAATTTGTATGTGGTGTATGTGTCCTATTGTTTGCAGGCGGGGTTCTGGTACCACCATGCTGAGCCTGACTACCTCATGCTTGTTTGCTGGATTCCTGCAACAACCAATACAATCCCTGCAAATGCTACACACCGAGTGGGTGTCGGTGCTATTGTCTTGAATGATAAAAGAGAGGTACTCCTTGCTTTGTGGTTAGCATAATTTCCTTGATGTTTCTTTGTGCTCTTAAAATAGTGGCCCTTTCTAGCTTTCATTAGTTTGGTTTAAATCAACTGCTTAACTTTTCAGGATTTTACATATCTTTCTTCCCTCCTTAGCTGGGAGCTCTAGTTCTCTTTGCACTTTAAAATTTTTACTAGTTAACGTGCGATCTCCTAGGCTAATCAGGATATTGAGGAATTCAGCTCCTGCAGTTTCTATTTACCCATATCAGAGAAACTACTGTCCTTGACAGTCTCTATTCCAAAGATATATTGGGGTGAAAGCTCACCTCTTTAGAAATCTATGTTTTCTTTGACAACAAGGTATTTTATTTTTGTAAAATTGGGTTTCTTGATGACTTTGTTTCTATGATGTTTGAATTGAAAGAGAAAAAATTTCTCTGGAAATGATCTATCATTTTGGATCTTGATGTACATTTATGTAAATATTGTTTAGTATTCTATCAATTCTTTGGAATTTCGTTCCCTCATGGATCTGTATTATTGGTTTTGAGTCCTATTTACATGGAGCAGATGCTTGTAGTCCAGGAAAAGAGTGGCGTATTCCAAGGAACAGGTGTTTGGAAGATCCCTACTGGAGTTGTTGATGAGGTGAGTTTAACCAGAGGACTTTTACGATGTTTTGAAGCTAAAATGCATGATATAAAAACAAATAAGCTCTTTAACATGCAGGGTGAGGATATCTTTATGGCAGCTGTAAGAGAAGTGAAAGAGGAGACAGGGGTAAGTGAAACATGCGTCTCAATATTTTTTGTTCATACTTCTATTCACTCATCGGTATCGCTCTTTCTGAGACCACTATTTCCAATTATTCAGGTTGACACAGAGTTCTTGGAGATTCTAGCATTCAGGTAAGACATCTGCTTTCTCTCAGAACTTTTGACATTTCTTTATATTACAGTGTCAGACGTTGTAATTTTTTTAATACTAAGTCACAAGTCACACTTGTGATGTTTGAAGGGCAGGTTTGATAGGTTACTTGATGATGTAGCAGGAGCGCACCTCTGTAATATGTAGTTAGCCTATGAAAACTAGCGTATGGTGAGATTCTTCTTGGAATCTCATTCCCAATTGTAATGGTTTTGTATTCTGGTTGATGTGATGAAGACAAGGACAATGGCCCTTGTTTGTTGCAATTAAGAATCTACCTATGGGCTTATATTGGTCCTTACCTTTCGTATCCCTTCGGAAAAGTATTTTGTCATTAGGATCAAATATTTTAGGTGTGTCTCAGATGTTTGCCTTTTCTATTGTCGCAATATAGCTGAAAACGTATGAAATTAATTGTTGTCTAGCTCATTCGAAGTGGCTTAATATTTCTTCTGTACTTCTTTAAGACCTTAACACATATTTGCAGGCAATTACACAAGTCCTTCTTTGGAAAATCAGACTTATTCTTCTTGTGCATGATGCGCCCCTTATCCTTCAATATTCAGAAACAAGAACTAGAAATTGAGGCAGCCCAGGTACTCTGTTTATAATTTTGCTTCATTTGAGCTGATCATAATGATTAAGTTATTATAGAAATTCTGAAGATGAAATCAAGTACTAGAAACCATTAATTCAACCTACTTAGATGTCTTGTAATTTTACATGATGCTTAAGATTGATGATAGTCCATTTTTTTGTTTAGGAAGAATTGACGAAACCTGATATCAATAACATGAATTAAACATGAATGCTTTGGATAAAACCAGAACTGTATGGATGTGATTGAAATTTAAAAATCGAGACATAATTTGCAAACATGAATGCTTTTGTCACAGTTGTATTAACCGTTTCTCTGGTTGTTTCATTTGCATAATTAATTTAGCTTGCAGTCATTATATCTTAACATACTCGAGACACACATGTATGTGATGCTCTTCTTTGCCACTCCAAAGTTGCATAAACCAGAGAATGCTGAGTTTAAAAATCTCTCAAACTAATTGCTGATATTTTTTCATGTGTTTGCAATGTTTCTGCATAGTGGATGCCATTCGAGGAGTACGCAACTCAACCTTTCACCCAGAAGCACGAACACTTCAGATACATTGGTAATATATGCTTAAAAAAGATGGAAGATAGCTACACAGGATTTTGTCCCCAGCCTATAAAATCATCATTTACTGATGAGCTAAGTTACCTTTATTTTAATTCCAGGGATCTGAACAATTCAAATTCTGTTGATTCTTCCTGAACGGGATTTATTTTGTTGCCCAATTACGCTGTAACTCTATTATTTAGTTTATGTTAATCCTTTTGGTAAGTTCAGATATTTCCAGTCTTGCTGATAAAAAAAATGCCAAATCCGTGTGAAATTACTGACACAGAAGACAGTTACCATAAAGAATAAATTGTGATAGGCTTCACCTTTGGCACTCGCTAGTCTTTTCCCTTTTTTTTGTCGGTTCTGGATTTCTAGTTCTCTTTGGAAAAGGGACAACGCCTTGTTTTTTGTCTGTACATGTAAATGAGTCTCTCTTTCAGGATTGCCTCTTCATGACCATGACAAGTGGTTTGCCATGCGGCACCAAACCCGAAACACAGAAGAAGAAAGATCCAAACGAGAGCAGAGAGCTAGTGGTTATAAGTCTCAAGAGAGGTGCCCAATTTTCTGCAATCCCATCAAAATTCTGTGCTTTGTCAGTTAATTTAATCAGCTTAAAATAGCCTCTGCCCTCTGTTTCTTTCCCTTTTCATGTATATTATCATTGCCTTTTAGAGTTCTGCAGTGCCAGGAAGAAAAATATGTATCAACTGAAATTTGCTTTTCTTCTGGCATTCTGGTTCTCTTTTTTTAACCTTGAAGATGTCATAGGGCAAGATACTGATGATCATGTCTTACCTTCACCCACTACTTGCTTGAACTGCACAATTTGTCCATATCCATGCCATCAACTCCCTCCGCCAACACCATCAGGCTACCCTTCATATGGAACTCCACCACCACCAGTTTCAGGCTATCCTCTTTACGGAACCCCACCGCCACCGCCACAACTTTCTGGGCCACAGTCCCCAGGAAACTGCCCTCCTACCCCTGCACGTTGCTGCGGTTACCCTCCTCCAAGTGCTTATGGATATATCCCACAGGAGAGCCACTCTGCTTCTCCTTATTCGCCTCTCCTCCTCTTTTCCCTTGTGATGCTTTTGTTTTTATTCGCTCTCCTCCTCTAGATTTTCTTTCTGCCTTTTTCTTTCTATTTTTCTTCAGGTTTTCGTGCGGTTTACCATAAAACTCGTCAACCAATTTACTGTACTGCTAATGTTAGTGTGTAATGTAAAAGTTTCCCATTTCTGTTGTGTAGATACTTTGATGAGGCTTTCCCTTTTTCTTGAGTTATCATAAGCACAATGAATGGGTGTCATGTTCTATATATTTGCTTTAGTGTTCCTAGTTCTTATTATGGTTGGTTGAAGTACATATATACGAAAGAGAGTGAGAGACAAATGGGCATATTTACCTTAACTAGGCGAGGTAAGTTTGTCTTCTTTTGCTTGGTGGCTTCTCTCAGGCGGTTTCCTTTTGACTGAGATCCATCCATATATGATCTCAGGTTGTATACAGCCTCTTGGCAAGACGACAATGTATCATTCCTTTTATTAGTAAAGACTCCTCGTGGGTGATGCAGGACGAATAGTCTACTAGCTAGCTACTACAATGAATGAAGTTGTCATTATTCATCACGTTTCTGAGTCCTTTTTTTTTTTTTTAATTCAGTACCGAGCTGTGATCCTGCAAACCAAATTTAGTGCCAATAATTTCTCTCTAATTTTTTTTTTACTTCAACAGCAAGTGTAGGAGTTATCCATATGTTTAAGAAACTATTTTTAGAGCAAATGACGTTGAAGAAGGATATTTTTCATAGCAACTCTGTATATTACCTTTTCAAGGAAATTAATGAGAATAAAGTCGGGGTTCAATGAACTCTTAGAAATTAGTCTTTAACCCCCATTTATTGAACCCTACCTTTTTTTCCCTATAAATCTTCCAATCTTGGTTTGTTAGTATTTTATAATTTATTTATTTCTTAATAAAAATAAATAATTTTTTTTATATCATAATATATAACTTTTTTTAAAACAGAAAATAATGTTTTCGTAAATATTTATCTTATTTTAATAATAATAATATAGTAATTTAATAATTAAAATTTTTATATTTTATTTAAAAATTATAATTTAAAATTTATTAAAAATATATTATTCATCACTTTATAAATATATTATAAAATAATAATGACCGATTTATAATATTTAATTCAATAAAATTAAAATTTTAATTTATTAATACATTAATAAAATTATAATAACTAAATTATATTAAATTACAGTAACACAGTGAATTAAAAATAATTATGCGATGATTATATTTTCTTAGTTGCAGTAACACAATATGTAACAATTTCGAAATTTTAAAATAAAATATGTGTATTAAAAAAGTCAAATGCGAAAGCGTAATAAAAATTTTGATTAACATTTTTATTTAAAAAAATGTTATTTTTATCGTAATATATAACATTTTTTTTTAATATAGAATGATGTTTTCGTAAATATTTATCTTATTTTATTAATAATAATATAGTAATTTAATAATTAAAATTTTTATATTTTATTTAAAAATTATAAATTTAAAATTTATTAAAAATATATTTTTCATCATTTTATAAATATATTATAAAATAATAATCATCGATTTATAATATTTAATTTATTAAAATTAAAAATTTAGTTTACTATTGATAAAATTATAGTGATCAAATTAAATTAAATTTACTAACATATTGATAAAATTATAGTACAATTATATTTTCTTCGTTTGAGTAACACAATAAATTAAAATTTTGATAATTCAATAAATTATAGAGATGCAGACCAACACGATAACATTTCCAAGAGTGAGCAAGTGATTAAGTAATTTTTGTGTAACAATCTCGTAATTATCAAAATTATTATAAAATCTTACAAAATTATCATATAAAATTACAGAATTTACTATACCATCTTAAAAAAATTACTACAAAGACATATACCTCCACACATTATTAAGTGATTACTACAAAACTTAGTAAACTAATATGCAATGCTAAAAAATTACCACATAGAAATGATGCTTCCTAACTCTATAGAATTTCCCAAAATTAAAAAATTAAAAAATAAATTACCCTTGATGCCAATAAACAAATGTGTATTTAAAAAAAAAAAAAAATCTACAGTATCTATCTTTAACAACAAAGACTAATCAACCTCACAAAATCAAACTGTAGGAAAATTCTATTCAACACAGAAGAAGACTAGAAGATAACTCACCACACTAAAAAACAATATCAAGAATTTGGGGAGAGGAGAAGAAAACACAAAGCATAAGAGAAAAAATGAAAATGAAAATGGAATATGATTTTTTTTTAAATATAAAATAAACACTCACTGAAGCAAGAACCCTAAGCACAAGCTTAACACCAAAGCAACAACTTTTCCACCATAGAATCTCACACCAGCATTATCATCTGCAGTCTGATCAGCAGGGTCTTCTTCAGGTGAATCAGCAGGTGCATCTGAGTCTGGTGAGGGGATTGCTGGTTTCTTCTTTTTCTTCGCGGGCTTGGGAGCATCGGCTGGCTCCTCTGGTGCGGGTGCAGGGGCTGGAGTAGGTGATAGTTCTACCTTGAACAACTCTTTTGGCAGCAATACCTTATTAGTCGTGTAGACTGCAACAGGCTGCTCATCAAACAGAGTTCCAGTGATCTTAACTGTGTTGATCCTGGTCTTGAGTGTCACCTGATCACCATCGTTTTGCACTGTGATGTCAAACTTATCAGCACCATCAGTGGCCAACGTGTTCATGATGCCATTGTTGGACTTCAACATGGACATCGATTGGTATACAGGCACAGCAAGGAATTCAAGGAATGATGTTTTGCCTGCTGCTGTCAAGTTCTTGAATTTCGGCAAGAATCCCTTCATTGCATCATCTAGAGGGCAGAACACTGTCAATCCTCCATCAACATTGTCCTGGGAAATGATCATTCATTCCAAATTAGCAATGGAGTTCAGGATTCAGTTTCCCCAAATCAATTCCAACACAACCAGGGTTAACAAAACAAAAAACACATTCAATAGTTCTTTTGCAGAAATGAATATTTGCCGGCATCATATCATTCTCCCATTATTACTCAATATCAACGAGACAGAAAATGTCAA